GGTATAAATGACTGCGCTATTGTACTTTTGACTTTAGGCCTTTCAATTTCAATTGTAGCAAATTGATTGAGAATGGCAATACACACGGCTTCGGTATATACATGACTATTCCGCTTTTCTAAGTAATTCATTTTGTCTTTTTCCCGCTTGACTTGTTTCATTCTGTTTGGTTTGTTTCTTATGAGTTCAATTAAGTCGAAATGCTTTTTATCAAAGAAATTACATTGTCATCCTTTGTTTTCAACTTTTTTATATTTCATCCCTGTTTTATCTTTGTGGTATCTCTTGATTTCCCCCATTTTCTTCCAAATAACTCCCTTTTTGTCAAAAACAAGTTTTATTATTTGATTATAAAATTATACAGAAAAACCTGTAAAATAAAAGACCTCCTTACTGCCCTTCGTTTGGGCTTGTTTGACTCCGTCTTTTCTATTGTTTACCTTCAACGCAAGATATTCCATGTGTTGAATATTGGATAAAGAAACCATTTAAATCAACTCAGTAAATAATTTTCAACATATGCATTTTTACCAAATATCAGGTCGGTCTTTTTAAACTATATTTTTTAATTATACTTAACTTATTTTACTATTCTATCCACATTAAAAAAGTACAATCAAACTCGCATTTTTAAAAATAGATAAATAAATTGTTAAATTATAGTTTTTTAATAATTATAAAAATTAATTATTACTAGCTTATATTTTATTACTGATAAAAATACACAAAAATGGATAAGAAGGGTTTTTAATTCCAAATTGGGTTGAAAAGGGGGATGAAAATTTTGAATACAAAAAACAATTGTATTGTATACAAAACTCAATAAAAAGCGGGAAAGATTTTAAAAAGTTGCAAAAATAGATTTTTTAATGAGTTTGTTATATGAAAAACAATAAAATGACTTTAAATTTTTCAAAACCATGAATTGGAAAAAGACTGGAAATAATCTGTATTTTATCTTTGTTGTTATTGATTACAATTTAAGGTATTGCCAAATAAATATTTGGCACTTCTCAAATAAATAATTAATAGAATTTAATGAATTTTTTAGTCTTTTTTATACCATAGAAATTCAAGTATAGTATCGTGTACGAATAATTTATTAATAAGTCTTCGTTGTTAACAAGTTTTTTAACGTTTATGTTCTTTTTTTTATTGTTGTGTATTGCGGCATCTTAAGAATTTATCTTTATTATTTTTTTGAATTGATAATCAAAATTGCTATAGTAATGAACATACTCGATTCGATAATTAATGTGAAAACGACCAGTGCCAACAAAACAAACAACAAAAAACTTTTTTATATTATTTGTTTTACTTTTTATAGCAGAAGTTCTATTCTTTGTTTTCTAACTCTTTCTTTTTTTAAAAAACAATGATTCTCTTTACACATCTTTTTCAATTATTTAGATGTACAGGCAGTGAAGTGAAGGTATAAATTTTCAATTGAATACTAAATAAAAGGGTTTTGAGAATAATTGAACAATTTTAGGTCATATTTTTACTGTTTTTTCGGGTTTAATTTTTTGGTCAATAAAACTAAAAAAATATTTTGAAAAAATTTAGACCCATTTTTAGATTATTTTTAAATTCGACTTTGCTGAAAAAATAAGTTGAAAAATAAAATTGAACGAACTTAAAAAATAAATTGAAGTCGAAAGAAGAAAAAGGCAAACACCAAGCATTGACTCTTGTTAAAAAAGAAAACAAAGATTAAATATTTTTGGTGTCATTTTACACGTTTGTTATTGTTATTTTGTCATTGTTTAGCCACTTATTACATAAATATTCAAAGATTAAATTTTATTACATCATCTTTAAGATCTTTAATTAATGGTAAGTTGCGAGTGTGGTTATTGAGTTATTGGCTATTGGGCGAGCTGGCAAAAACAAACACGCTTATCATCTGTTTGAGTTGTGATGAAGCAGGATTTGTGAAGTTTGCTTTGTTGCCAAGTTAAGTGATGGTTTTGTATTGGTTTATTCGCTTCTTGGTTAATGTATGATTGTTGTTTTTCTATAGTTTATAAATGATTAAAATAACTATAAAATATAATTTCCAAACAAACAAAATGGTAACAAGATAATCAAAATATCAATATTTATTATAATAAAAAGGACAAATTCGGCTTGTTAAATAAGGGTTTTATTGAGAATGACAATTTCAGCCAATCAAAATAAAATATTTCTTGATAAGAAAACCCTTTTATTTAGCAATCAATTGAAAATTTATACCTTCACTTCACTGCCTGTACAACTGTATAACATTTTATCATAAATGAAAAAATAAATGAACCAATAAATAATCAAAACCAGAATATACAAATAAAGAATAGATAATGAATGAATGCATGTAGATACCACCTTTTTGCTTGTTAAATTTATATATAACTTGAAATACATATCATACAGTCTGTCTTTTAACGTTATCTGGTGCCTTTTGGACCATAAAAAATGGAATAATTCGGGGAGCAGTCCCAAAAATCCATCCCAATTGTTTCGGGTTTTTTCACGCTTTACCTAATGCCCGATGTTTAGACAAAAATGAAGCTATTTTTTGTCCACCAGATAACGTTAAAAGACTGACTCTAGAATTACTATTTATTCTTTTTTTAGTAACTTTTCTTGTGTTGAATGTATTATTTATAGTTTATTATTATTATATTTATCATTCATAGTTTTCATCGTTCTCCACAAATGTTCAAACCATTTGAATTAGCATTGAACAACAATAGATTACAAAATTTAATAAATCTAATAAATAATTAATTAATATAATTAAAGTATAAGTAACATTGACTCTTAACACTCTTCAATCAACTTTTGAAATGAACATGTGACTGAACATGCACTCCTATAAATAAGAGTCCAACCAATCTTCCCCAAATGATAGTAACACAATAGTAAAAATGAATTAAACACACTAATTCTGTTCTTTCTTTTTCATTCCATTCCGCAAAGTTTCCAACATAGTCTTATCGATCTTGTCTTTCGTCAAATTAGCAATAGCGCTGTCCAAGAGTTTTGCTGATATACTATCTATGATGCCGTACGCCTCTTCTGCTGTATTTGCCTTCATCAAATCCGCTATATGTTATATATTATATTTATATTATAATTATATTATATATATTTATATTATATGTTATAGTATAAATATAATATAAATATAGTATATCCATATTCTTCTCTAATAAGACAAGAACAAACGTTTGAGGAGTTTCAAGTAGTTAATAGCGATCAAATAGAGTACATCCTTTCCTTCATACAAGTAACAGTCCCAAACTCTAATAGTCAAGAGAGGAGGGAAAACGTCGATGAAGAGATCAGCGAACCAAGTGACGAAGTAATTCATTTCGAACCCGATAGAGCACAGTTTATCGTACAACTGGCAAACCTCGAGTTTAAACATACGAGGGAAGATATAGATAGCCTCAGGTGCATTTGAATCGATGAATTCAGATATTGCGTATTTCTCTGATTTGAGTTGCATTAAGATATCGAAACCCGAGTCCTCACCGACGACGCAGAGTAACATCCCAGCTATTTTACAGACGGAGGAGATAACGGACTTCTTTTGTACTTCTAAGAAAGCAACGACCATCCTTTCCAAACGGTATTTTCCCTTCATTTCAATGAAAGCCTTGTGATCTGGAAAGACATTTAAACCTTTTCTGACCTCCTTTATTCCTTTTCCTTGACATCCAACAGCATATAATTTCATCATCTCTTCACGATTAGCAGAACTTGGGATGACCCCAGTGAAGCACTCCCATATCTTTGGACGGACTTGTGGGTTTAACATTGTGATGTGCTTCTTCACCCATTTCTGCTCTTTTAAAGTGGCAACTTTCCAATGACCAACAGTCACTAACCATTTCACGTTATCGCTGTGCCGCTCTTTCCGAGGAGATGTCTCGGGGTATGGGATCTCATAGCCATAAGCATTGTAATAGTGTTGCTCTTTACTCTCAATCTCTTCATCAATATTTAACAATTGAGCTTTGGCATAGTGCTTGTTCTCTTCAGCATAATCAAACGCGGTCTTCCCGGTATGATCAATCGAAACTATTGAAGCACCATGGTCTATTAGACATTTGACTATCGATGGGTCACTACATGTCGTTTTGGCAGCTCGGTGAAGACTCGTTTGACCGTGGTTGTCCGTCGCGTTAATATCGAAGTGCGGGTCTTTCTGAGAAGAGTCAATCAGTAACTCAACTATTACTAAATTGTTCTGGCCACTCGCTATATGAAGCGGCGTTTCGCCGTTGTCATTTTGAGATACACAGGGACACCCAGTGGATAGAACAGCGTGAAGAATCTCAACCAACTCATAATTGTGAAAGGTGAGAAGATTGTGTAATAAATCGGGATCTTGAAGTAATGTGTGATTTTTTTGTAAAAGTGCCCGAATTTGACTGCCATCACTTTTCTCAATCGCGTGGACGAGCTGCTGCATATTACCTTTCAAATTCTCTTTTGTAAGTTTAAAATTTTATGATTTGGTATCTGATTGGTTTTGTGGTATTATTTTAATACAAATTTTTCATTTTTTTATTATCTTCTATTTGTTACAGTATCATTTATATTAATAAATTTATTAATATTAATACTATTGTTTAGTAATCATTAATTGTTGTATTGCACTTTTGGGAAGTTATTGTTTATAGTTTACATATTGAAATTTTATAATTCTTCGTGTTGTTGTGGAATTTGTAAAAAAAAATCTCGTTTTATTAATTATTCACTCATTTTTGATATTCAGTCATAACGACACGCCGGTTAAGTGTTTTTGAATTTTACAAGGCTACCATTTCACTGTTATATTTACAAACTCTAACAACATGCAACAAAATTAAATTTAAAAGAAAAAAATACCCGACGCCCCATGACAGTCATACCGTAATGATAATAACAAACTATAAAAAATAATAAAACAATTAAAAAAAACTATATAATATTATTAGACATTTTTTCAATAACCCTTTTCAGAACGCCGTTGCACTTGATTAAACAAAAAAACCATTTAATGAGTTTTAAATAATACTTTTTACTAAAATTACTAGTT